GGGGGGCTAAAAGTTGGCCCCCTGAAGAATCGGGGATTTCTTTCATGTCTACTATTTGGGGGACATTGAACAGACCAAAATAGATATTGTCCCCATTGCAACACACTTGGCATCTTAAATCTTTCCTTTCTTTCTTCACTGTTCTGCCTTTCCTTGGTCGTGCTGCCTGAGAAGCATGGCTAACACTTAAGGATCAGTCTGTCCGTCATCACATGTTGTCGTTTGCAGCTGCAGTCACATTTAAGTTTTCAAGACTCCATTTACCATATCAATTTGTAATTTTGTATGTTGCTTAATCATAATAGATTACAGATTAATTTCGAACCACGTGCCAATGGTCTGGAGCATTACTTGGTTAAAAAGACTGAATGCTGTTTAACAGAGGGTCTCTGTCATAATATTCAGGCTTCCTAGAGGGAGGAGTGGGGTCCCAAAGGGGGATTCTCCAATTCAATTACACAATTTGTTGTTAGGACCCCTACGCATCTTTAGTAATCAGATTTTACGTCTGTCTGTCCTTCTATCTGTTATGAGCTCACCTGCCAAGGACAAGTGAGCTTTTGCCCTGGTGCGGCCTCCGGCGTCCCGTCGCATCGCGTCACATCCCGATTCAATGTAAACACTTAGCAACTTCATTCATTGACAGATTTTGGTCAAACTTTATACAAAGGTGAAGTATGGGTATACTTGGGACATCTTTGTATTTCAGGGATCCAAGGTAAAGGCCAAGGTCACATTTGCTATACATAGAAAATCATCCCGTCCTGTCGCATCCCGTCCCGTCGCGTCCCGTCTCGATTCAATGTAAACACTTAGCAACTTCATTCTTTGACAGTTTTTGGTCAAGCTTTATACAAAGGTCAAGTATGAGTTTACTTAATAAATCGTTGTATTTCAGGGATCCAAGGTTACACTTGCTACATATAGATAATCATCAACTGATTCAATTTGAACACTTAGCAACTTCATTCTTTCACGGATTTTGGTCAAACTTTATACATAGATCAAATATGGGTATACCCTTGTTTTTCAGGGTTCCAAGGTCAGGTCAAGGTCACTGTTGCTATACATAGAAAATCAACAATTGATTCAATTTAAACACTTAGCAAATTCATTCGTTCATGGATTTTGGTAAAATTTTATGTAAAGGTCAAGTATGAGTATACTTTGGACATTGTTGTGTTTCAGGGTTCCAAGGTCAAGGCCAAAGTCACTGTTGCTTTATATAGAAAATCATCAACTGATTCAATTTAAACACTTAGCAACTTCATCCAATATGTTATGGAGATGGTAATAACATACAGAAAAAACATAAATATTAAAGTCAAGTTATCAACTTTAAGTGTATAACCTTGTGTGTGTGCATACGTGGACTTTATTCAGTGTAATAGAATGCTTAAACTTTTGGATAGCTTTTCAGCCTTTGATATCAAAGGTCAAGGTCCCTTACTATAAATAGAACATCAGTTTGTGCACTGTATTTTGAATTTTGTTGGACTGATTGCACTCAGATTTTATCAAGTCCTGCTTGGGATAACTTTTCAGGTCAAGTGGTCAAAGGTCAATGGGTCACTATAACTAGAAAATCTGTTTAATGCACTAATGCACAGTATCTTGATTTCTCTTGGGCTGATTACACTCTTGACTTTATACAGTGCTTCCTCAAAGAAAGTGCCTGCTTGGGATAACTTTCCAGGCCCGGGGTTAGGTCTCTATCATTGTTACTATGTGAATAGAAAATCAGTTTATAAAATGCACTACTCATGTTTTGAGTTCTGTTGGGCTGATTCTGCTCAAGACTCTGATTCAAGTGCTTTTATAAAAAAAATGCTTTCATTAGTGTTTGCTTCATGAATACCTAACCACAGTTTCTTTTAAATCTTCAATAAAAATTTGTATGGAGAATAGTCACGGTGGCATTTAAAATATATATATAAATCTTATTACCGGTTAGCTTGTAATAAAAATAATAATAATAATTGGAGGTTCTTTTATACCGCTTTATCACAACCTAGTTCGTAGGTGGTCTCAATACTTATATTTACGATTTTTCTTCCTCTTATTTTTTCTTCTTTTTTAACTTATAATTTATATTTAAAATTAAAAGTGCCCGCCTTATCGGCAGTCCACACAATTTCGTTCAATAGTTTGAACAGCGTATTGTCGCTTGCTGATTGACAAACAAAGTAGTACTTTGAAGGTTTAACAAACACTTCAATTTTATTCCACAATTCAAAGATAGATTATAAATTGTTCCGATTTTCCACCGGAACAAATTTCGCGCATGGATAAATACAGTGAACACCGTGAATACGACCTTGACCTCCACGAGGGATTAATCAACTTAATGAGAAGTTAATTAGAAAGTTTCTCTTTGCTCATTTTGTGAAGAATCCAGACGTGAATTTATTTGCTGTTTGTACGGGAATCTGACTACAGTCGGTTGATTCTATAACAGACTCATTATTTGACATGTCGTGATCAGAAACTAGCAAAACCGTGGCTGCGAGACGCGTGAAACTGATATCGTTTGAAGTGCGTGATCTTGCAACGGAGCACAGGGGCTCGTTACAAATGTCTGAAATGTTTATGTGTGCTGTGACTCATATCAGTAGGTTTGTAGCATATGTGTCAGTATAGGTCTATAGAATATGTGTATTTCAGACCTTTGCAACGAACCCCTGCTGATCAGCGCAGTGTAAAAGACGATATTTCTGATAAAATGCATGAGTGTTAAAATTGTTTCCATTGCCGGCATTGGTGATTTCAACCGATGTGCATTTTGTACGATATTGCAGACATAAGTCTTGTTTTTGTTGTTATAAAAGCATTTTTTATTTACTTTTTTCTTTTGCAAATCAATTAACAATGACATTGTCAAGTCTCACAATGCCCAGTGATATTTCAGCAACCGTCATGTTTATTTACATTGGATATTGTAGTTCCGGTCAATGTTGTATTAATACGCTACGAAGTGTGTCTCGTGCTGCATGGTAATTAAAGTCCCATCAACAATACAGCTTTCAAAGAGGCTATATAGTGACAATGCCATGCAAATGTTAATATAAAGATGTACAGTGTTCATTTTATCATACCGACTAACAGTAGTTTTATAGATGTACAGTGTTCATTTTATCATAACGACAAACAGTATAGTGATTAGGTAAACAGTGTTCATTTAATCATAACGACAAACAGTATAGTGATCTATGTATACAGTGTTTATTCTCTAGATAAACAGTACAGCAATGTTAATATACAGTGTATCTTCATTTGTGTTCTAACTTGTAACAGGAAGATAGTCTTCATTTGATTGATTATGGTTTCCCAATGACTGGCTTTAAATAGAAAACTTACCTGTAGGCCCCCAACTTACCTGTGTCCAAAAATATAGTTACATATAAAACTGTCACAGGTAACATATTGTATAGTTAAAGATAATGTCTCTGAAAACGATCGGTTAAAACATAAACTGAGCAATGGATTACATTACAGTTATGTTTTAAGTTAGAGATCACACACATGTAGTTTAGGACAGATCTCGTAAAAGGACACGATCTGTCTTCTTTTCGCTTATTTAGATTGAACTACTGAATTCAACGTTTCTTTATTGTCAAAACAATATTTGCAAGCATTGGTGACAATTGTGAAGTACATGAATCTTTATTTAGCGCCTTTGATAAGTGTGAAAACCCTGAAAATATCTTTCTCATTAATATTCATACATTTATATCTGCAGCAGGATTATTAATTGGTAAGTGAAGTCTCAATTTCGGTTTGCAAGGAGACGTTTAATATGTTACTGATATTATTGCGTCTAATCAGTTATTAGTAAAAAAAACAAGTGTAAAATACAAATTATTCAAACCTAAACCGCTAATTGTACCTTAACCGCTTATTGTACCTAAACCGCTATAAAACGATTCATGTCCTGCACAACTGTCACCGATGCTTAAAACAATGGATTCAATAGATCAATCTAAATCAAAAGGAGTGGTTGTGACGGAAGGTTGTCAGGTCTTTCATTTTTGAACCTCGTATGATTTGCATCAACACTTATAACATTATAACTGAGAAATTAATGACATTTGTTGATGTTTTGTAGTGAGTCAGAGGTCATCGATATGCTGCCCAGGAAGGAGTAGACATGATTCACATACCCATTTAGACAGATTTTGCAACAAAAGGAGGACGGAATACACACGTCACTGTTCGTCCTTCCCTGTCGGCATCCATATAGATGGAAGGACCTTGGACAAAGTCACCGAAGATCGTGGGACTTTTCGACAATGCATCCACAAACTGATATACAGCACCGATGACGTTTCTGACGACTTTGAAGTACGCGAAGAAGCTCCAGATGACGAATATCTACTCCACATTGCACGATGGCTGGATAAGCTCATTTACGTTTATTCATCAAGGACGAACACTTGGAGAGTCTACAGACATGATCCTCCACAGAGGAATGGATCTACAAAACAATGCCGGTACTACATAACCCTTTTCCACGACTACACTGACGACAGATACGATATCATCATACCCGATAAAGGTTGTAATTGTATCAGGAGGCCACCAGCAGTTAACACAAATCTCACAGGTAAGATAAACAGCATTTGTCGAGTCCAGTCCGCAGGTAAGATAATGGAAAACATTAAAATTTGGCAATACATAGTTAACTTTTTACCTATATCAAAATCAAAAATCTTATCACAAACTTTTTTTAATGCTATTGACTTTGAAAAACCATTTGAATTAATATAAAAACAAATGATGTCCAAGATGAGGAAGTGACCAGATAAAGAAATTTGATAAGAAATCGGATAAATGATAATTCACAAGTTTATTTCCAAGCATTCAAAACGATTATTGATATAAATGTTTTATATTTATAGGTTCAACACGGTTCATTTCGAAAGATAACAGACACAATCCTCTCACGGAATTCTTTTTGGACGACGGTATCTGCGACAGCTTCAGTGACGAAACACAGAACATTTTGTCGAGGAAGGGCGACTCCCAAATATACGAAGTTTTTCATCGACCAGATATGCAATTCCGGGAAGTGGATAAGGGACACACTGCACATTCCCTGTACACTTGTCTCAGCAAGGAGATATTTGGGGACGAAGAACAAGCTCTGAAGATTGAAGAGTTAGTTGCCACAGAAATGCTAGATAATGCTGACCAGTATGTCAGTTTACTCGGTGTGAAGTCTGATTTGAGGCGCGGTACACTCAGTTTGCAGAACGAAGTTGACAAAACCCTGGTGCCGTTTCTCCTTCTCTTTGGTCACCTGCCATTGTTTGCCGCAGCTACTGTGTTTCAAACGCCTATTTACGTGCTAAAAGTGGAAGAGTTAGAAGACGAGGAGAACAAATGGAAAAGTAGTTGGTCCTCATTTACACAGGTCAGAAGAAAGAGATCACCTGATGTAATGCCTCAAATACAAAGTAAATGTCGGCGAAACGGCAACTTTGATCGTTACTATGTGACCCTTCTACAGGATCCATATGGAAATTTCCTACGGGTCATTCCAAAGCAAAAAGAATGCAACTGCCAACTTGACATACCTGATGTACCAGTGGAGTTTGTGCCAAATCCTGACCAGCAAGAGGCACTTCGTTCGAGAGATATTGCTTCACAACAGCCGTTTGGTTGGGAAGGTTAGTAGACAGAATATTCAAACACCTTCATTTTCCTTTGATATAGTTGAAAAGTTTATCAACATATGAACTATATTATAGTGATGGTAAGAGGTTCCCCGACGAGTGATGGTTGGTTATCATGTTTATCTAGCTCAAATCAATTATTTTTGAAATTGAATAAAGACACAAGGTTTACAAAGTTTTTTTTACAAGTTTAAAATTAACTAACATGAGTTAAATATAAAACATAATCAACCATCACGAGTTTGGGAACATTTTGCTCACACAGCATGAAAATATTGTAACTAGAAAAACATATTTGTTTTTGGAAAACATGATTCCTGTTTCGCCTGAGGGAACAATTACCACGAACTTCGACATCACAATGAAAGATGACGTTGCAATTTATTTTACTTGATGTCATAGTTAGAAGGTGAAACAATGAAATAACGTCCAGGGTGTAGGCCACTATTGGGTAACCAAACGGTTAACCATCTCCTGGCATGGTTATCCCGTGAGTTGGGAGTGAAGAAACCAATAGTGGTAGTAGAAAAGTAAGCTTTCCTTGTATTGGGCTCGATTTGAACTTCTATCTGACACAAGATGTTGCTTGCTGCGTGTTCTACAATGTAAATTTCGAGGCTGTTGTAAACCTATTCATAGAAATTCAATTGGTTACGCTCGGACAAGATCTGTGCTCTATACGTGTGCAATAATTTGTCCATAGCACGAATTTTCCTGCATGTAATATAATTCTTTACAAAAAATTAACTTTGAACCTTTTCCCACGAGGACAGAATAAATTCGCCTGATATTTCATGGCTGCAGAGACTGAAATCATCTTTATTTTCAGACAGCTTGGTCACATCCAGGTATCCTAATGATTTGTAATGAATAAAACAGTATCAGCAGGCGTCATAAACAACAAAGTGTTTCATGAAAAGTGTAAATAAAGTTAAAGGTAGATAATAGTCGTTATCTTTTCCAGTTGCAGAAGATGAAATCATCCATACCTTCAGACGACTTGACAACGCACTGGGGCAGAACCTACAGAACATCCGGCAGTTGATGGGACTGATATCAACACAACTTTTGATGTACGACCTGATCGTCGCGGTGTTTGAGAGCAGGCGCCGTAATATCAACATCACCTCCATTACAGGTAGTTCCGTGTCTGTCGTTGGTGCTGGGTTGCTCATATTAGGTTTCGCATTGGCACCCGTAAGTGCAGGCGCTACCGTAAGCCTGTCTGTTATTGGCGGAATTATTTCTGGACTGGGTAGTGCAAGCGTGATAGGCGCCAAGATAACTGAAGGGGCACTCACCAAACATCAACTCGGCGCATTAATAGTTATTCATGAACTTTTGGATGTTTTATCAAAGGAAGCGGTTAAATCAAATACGATCTTCAAGGAGATTGCAGAAAAAGTGATGACATCTATCGAAGGAGATGTTGGTGAGCTTGACGACCTTGACGAACATACTTCTGATATCGCTGTAGTTATGGCTCCTGCTCTTGGGAGACTCATGGGCAGTTTCCACATCGTTCCTGTCATGATAGCACGAATCACATTACGGGTATCGTCAATTATTGCTGGGAGCGTAATGGGGGGTCTGTCACTGGCAATAGACGCCGTCATTATTGCACATGCTGTTTATAACCTCAACAAGGGAAACAAAACTGAAACATCGGAAATGCTTCGGAAGAACGCAGATTTGCTCAGAGCGATCAAAGTGAAACTAGAATCGTACGTACACGGAAATGTAGGTTAGTTTTTACCTTTTCGAATTCTGTACAACCGTACTCTAAATAATGAAACTGAATATGTACTTTACTATTGAAAAACAAGACAGAACATTTGTAAATATAAAAGCTTAACTCTAAATGGAGATGTAAGTTAAAATTTCGGACATCTTTGTGTATGGCATAATTTAAGTAACTAGTACATTTTGTAATAACATCATATAAATGATATTTTTAAAAAATGTGAACAGCAATGAAAGAGGACCGTACACTTAATCGTTATTAATTTAAAAAATCAACAAAATATACACATTCGGTTATCGGAGTCCGTTTGTATAGGGATGCACTTACCATTACTAATTAGTGTCCCTAATAGTTATTCGTTAACTAAACAAAAAAATAATTAACCGTATGCTTCTAAAAGACTTAAGCACAGACATGTTAGGTAGGTTATTGGTCAACATATATCCAGCAAATCCAGCTTCTGTAAAATGATCTGGGCCCGTATTCATGAAACAGTTCTCATGCTCAAGCATTAATTTTGTGCTCAAGCTTATTTCTTGTACCGGTAATGAATTATTTGAAAACTTTATTTTGTCAAAGTTTTGGAAACAAATTGAAGAGACATGAAGCCGGATGCTGTTTTCAATATTTACAATTGACTTTTTCATCTTTGACATGATTTAGGTGAGTTACAAAAAAGCTGGCTTGAGCACAGCATCAATACTTGAGTTCATGAACACGGGCTCTGGAATAGCAAATTACATAATCTATAAGCAGAGAATGTTAATGCTTACAGGGAAAAGGAAATATATTTATAAATAATTGTTTTCGGAATGTTTGACCTAAGCATAATGTTTTAGTTACATTTGAAAATGTAGTATTTTAGCCTTCAAAATATAAATTGTGTTTGTTTTCCCTTGATTGGCTGTAACATACCTATGACAGACATCTACATCTTTTCAATCGACTTAATGTGTTGGAAATTTTTTCATGCCAAGGGTTTAAGATAGGACAATTTCACCCGGGGGTTTTCAGGAAAGGTAAACCCCTAGGCAATGAAAAACTTCTTTCATTTAAAACACCAGAAGCCCAGAAACCATGCTAAATCGTTTTGACTGGCTACCGCTTTGGTAATACCAATATTTTCCCTGAGATCGAGACGTAAGTCAGATCTGGCATACCCGGTATCCAATTTCACGCAACATTTGGGGTTTTTCTTTTCTTTTTTGAAGACAAAATGACCAATTTAACAATTCATAACTGATGGCAATTAATTTACTTAATATTTAGACTATTGCATATAGTTTATTGGTGAATGAATTTTGAGTAAATAATTATTGGTAAATGAACTAATAACAGTTTACAACAACTGATTTCATTGCCTGATTATTACCCGTTAATGTCTTTTATAATGAATTAAAATATGATTTCTAATGTATATTGACAAAATTTATCAAAACATGTTTACCTTTTCCACTTTAGTCAAAGTTGTAATTAAATGCACATACTGCTCTGATGTGTCGTCAAAATTGAAATGTTATTATATCACACAATGATTGTCAAAATTGATATGTTGTTATGTCACACAATCATTGCCAAAATTAATATGTTGTTATGTCACGTACTGATTGTCTAATAGGTTTTTCTTTTGAACGTTTTGTTTTTGGCTGCTGTCATGTTACATTTCTGTTATATATTAAATGTGTTACTGCTCTTCCGCTGGTGAATATTTACGTTGTAAAGGAAATTCTGGTTAATAGAAATACAATGATCTTACATGCCCTTTTGTAATTAATCTTAAACAATAAAAAGGTGCGTTACAAGTTGACGCCACACCTTATTAAGAAGATATATGTGAAGACATTCTTCAAACAAATAAAAGGAAAAAAATCATCATATCAAATACACATCGAAAGGCTTTTGTTTGTACGCAGGCTTAATTGTGAAAATGAGCCAGTTTCTGAATTAGATGGTTAAATATTTACTCCAAATTCAAATGTTTGTACGACATTGTTTGATTTCACATTTTAAAAGGAATTTTACCTGCAAAACACCACATATTGGTGACAGTGAATTGTGTCAACACTGTTCATTATGTTATTTTTGAAATGTTATCTTCCAGCTTTAGTCGCTGTCAATACTTAGCTGTGTATGTATATTGATTATTATTGTAACAACATTATTCCATTTATCATCTTCTATCAATGTACACTTAACTTAAACATTATATACTTGCATTTTGCTTAACTCAACTATGCTACTTACTGATAGTTAAATTAAATATTTGACCAAGTCATTTCCCCATCGATTCAAACGGTTATTTTTGGACTACCGATGTATGCTTTAAAGGAAACTTACTTATACAATTGGTATAGGAACTGTGTGATATTTTATGTGTATTTATATGTAGATTGTAATACAAATAAGGAAAATGAATATTTTTGGATGTTTATAATGAGACATACCATCCCTTATTATGAGTTTTAATTATATCAAAGAAAAAACAGTAAGTTATCTTTTTCTTTCAATGTTATATATCAAAACTGATATTTAACACATAGATCAATTATTTTTCGTACCGTGGGTATTTGACATAGTGAATCATTATACTTTTGATATATCCATCAGTACATTGTATAATCTTTTTCCCCTGAAATCTCAAAAAAACAAAAATACGCCGCTAGTTCCCAAGGCTCATTTTCAAAGCTGGCTTGTTTTGAAGGCAGTCATGACTGCCAAGTCATTAAGTCACTGACTGATTTCTTATTTAAGTCTTGGAAACATTATGCGATGCGTTTTTCAAATAATGTTTTTCTTTTAATTAATTGTTACGATAATAAATAATGCAATACAATAATAGCTGTAAAACTCTTTAGGTTGACAGGGATAATGTAAATCATACCTAGAAGTAATCGGATTATTTTCATAGACGCCTATTTTTTTTAGATAAATTTGACTGTAAGGAATTCAAGGCTTACTTCCAAGTTCGGCCTTATTTCAAATCAGACTCATTATCGATATTTTAGGGTTTGATAAATATACAAATGTTATGACTTAATATATGAAGATACTGCACAGGTACCATCGACAATTGTTAAACGTACACGAATTATGAGTATGTTCTTAAGGTATCTGTAGCATTCATGGTTTAAATATGTTTTTAATATGATTGGAGCAAAATGTGTGAAAGATGATTATTGTCAAACTAAGTATGTTTAATGTGCCTTGATGAAACGTATTTCTATAAATTAACAGTCACACGCAATTAGATTATGTTTTAATAATAAGGTCACCCGCGACAGTCTCGTGTAGTCTATTGTTATGGCCTTTTGTCCGTCGTCATGCGTTGTCTGTCGTTTGTAAACAACGATCTCCTCATCAAACTGACGCACAGATAATTATAATAAATAAATAGAAAAATAAAAAAATAAAAAATTGCAGGACCATTTCATAGCTGAACACATTGTTTTCTCATTATTCGTAGGTTGGGATAAGTTTGTCAAAAATGTCATCAATTTTTCTTCAAATTCAGTAATCTTAGAAACAATTACTCTGTATCAATGTGAACGTCTTTATTCAAGTTCTTTATCAAAAATGTGAATTTAATATCTGGCCACCCATTACCTTCACTATAATCGTGAATCGGTTATTAATATTATGGTTTTGCCTTAACGTCAGACGATAAATACTTCCTCGGAAGGGTAAACAAACTATGGTTTACCTTGATACAATGTGTTTATGTGGAATGCACCAAGAAATAAACTGCAAGCATTATTACCGAAACCTATCTGTCCTTCCTGAAAATTGTGTTCTCCATGCCTCTTGACTTCATGTTGTAATTTCATATTAAATAATAATCAACATGTTATAACTTTAATCAATGAAGAATGGAGAACACTTTTGTAGGTTTGGGTTTTTTTTCCTGACACATAAAAGCTATGTATTTTGAATATTGGCCACTATCAAACATCATTTTACCAGCGATTCCAATGTTTCCTTATTTGCATAGGGTGTTTTTATCTTGCTTTGATTACATAAGCAACCTATTTAAGATATCAGGTGAGCATTAAGGCATGTGAAATATGTGCAGTTTCCTGCATCGGTATATTGCCACCAAATATTATCAAAAGAACGTCATAAGAAACTTTATTCTATAAAGGATTGAACTTATTTTAAAACTATTAGAATTCGGACGTGAAGACGTAATTTCCGTTCGATTTCATAAGATACGTAATTCCAACTACATGTAAACATGTCCTAATGCAAACATATGAGTGCTAAGATTGTCTACCTTATGTCGCCTATTTTATCCACAGTCTTTCTGAGTTTGTAGAGAGAAAGTGTTGGTTAAATATGACCATAGTGGAAAGAAAAGATGAAAGACAAATATCACGAGTATATCTGTTTTTTTATCAAAAGGGATTGAAAGATTTCCCGAAGATTTAGAACAAGATAACAAGAAGGAATATAATGTCTCTACTACCATGTATTTCACCGATGGAAAAATACAGATACATTAATGTTTGAGGGAGTGACCATCTGAATATATTTTTTCAGTAGACGATGTGTTAGTAGCGTATGGGGAGTGCTCTTAGTATCTTGGGAAGATACAATGGCATCGATGGGTAGGCCCAAGAATGTTGACCATATTCATGAAACTTCCGGTTCTCGTGTACAAAACAAAATTCTCGAGCAAAAGTGTTTGTTTCGGTAATAACTTATTAATTTTTTGAGAAAAAATATGTATTTTAAAAATTATTTGGAAGAATGTTAAAGAGTTTTGAAATTTGCACTCTGGAGTTTCTTCCATGTATTTGACTATGACGCATATATTTACTTTCAGCAAGTTTGGTACAGTTTGACTTGGGAATGAGAGTAGTATCATGAATACGGAACACTTGTGTAATTTCGATTGTAAAGAATGGACTTTTTGCAATTATTTCTGTACATCGATGTAACAATAATGATCTCCTTTGAATTGTGTATTGGATTGAAATGTGAAGTTGGATATGAACAATGCTTTACCAACCGATATAAACCCTGAAAAATATTGGAATTATCTCAACTCTTTGTGCGCCCGTTGTCGTCCGTCTGTCTTGCATTTTTTTTTGGTTAATGGTATCTATTTTAATTAATGCAAATTCTTCTGAATAATCAATACGCCTCCGATCATACCATTTTACTAGGAGTATGTCGGGATAAAGGAATATCATGTTTGTTCAAATAAATGACACTGACTCACATGGGTCAAATTTATTGAAACTTTTAATCAAATAATTCTGCTTTACAAAGATGCCTAGGATGATGATATTTGGCTAGTAGCATGCTGGTTGATGGACTTGATGTGCGATGTATGCAGATGTACTTGAGGCGGTATGTTGGTGTATATGCCTCTATTCAGTTACATTATACTGCCAATGAGATAATCAGTCGTTGCACTTACCCTCGCACAAGTGAGGTGGTGTCAGGGAAATCGTTAAGAAGTAGAAGGATCGAGAAAAAAATTCGTCATTATGATAGGAAAACATCACGTCTCAACTATTGTAATATAATTCGTTAGGATAATTATGGACATGAGGTGTCCGCTTTGCAGAGAGCTTAACGTTGGAGTTAAATGATTGTTTGGCATCGTAACCGCCACCGCCGAGAGCAAAATAACGCCTATATATCCATTTTGGAGTTTTGTCGCGGCGACATAAAAAACGAATGAAATTCCTGGCTTCAAAACGAAATATAAAATTGATTTTCTATTAATCTACTTGAAAAAGAGTATCACCAAGACAGTCGGAATTAATTCGCCACGTTATTGCCCCGAGGAGTAGATATGCTATATACATATGATTGCATTGTAAAAACCATGATGTACAAAATTTAGACGTTTACATTAACAGAAGTAGAAAACGACGGGAGGATTGATGAAACGAGTATAAATCATCCAAAATTGTACCATGTGTTGATGAATAAGGATACTTTTCTGACATTATCGCTCAAATACCCAGTTGGTTGGTAATTAAATTTAGGTTTTTTTCTCTTGTTTAATTGTTATAAATCGTTAGAGTTGTCTCCCTTTTTTCATTTTCAGTTTCTTTCTATTAACGTGATTAAATCAGTCATTTTAAACTTAAATACAATTTTGTATTTCCATGATATGTTTCTATAAAAAAGGGGGAGGACTAACCTCCGGATTGGATGACGGCAAATATACATCTCCGTGGAACGATGACCGATGTGTATTGTAAATTATGTTCGATCCTGTTCGCGAATCCGCATTCAAAAATGCTGAAATAGAAAGATGTATTAACCTGTTTTGCACTAAATGTATTGACATCGACGAAAATGAGAAAACGGTAGTCAAGGTGGTCTTGTGCTCCTTGTCGAGTAACAGTTAAAAATAATTTTCTAATGGAATTGAAGATAGAGGAAAATACAGAGAAATTGCAAGCATACGAGGCCAAGATACGGAACCTTGAACAATGCACGGATAGGAAGTGTGAGGAAAGTGACATCAGGAAGGTTGTTAAGGAGGAGTTGGCCCGGTCTGCGGTTAAGGATAAACAAACTAATCAGGAGAGTTTTACGGACACAAAAACTGACACTCAAGAGGTACTTACTGAACTATAGAAGGAAAAGAACAAATACATCCGAATGGAAAAGCTAGACAAGAAGCAGATACTGAAAGGGTCAAGGAAATATTAACTTCATTTAAAGTGGACTCATCTGAGAATACAATACGCAAGATTTTCTTCTTTTCTTTTTTCCGTTTAGGTTAAAATTGGATTTTATTCTTCCAGCATCTTTCGGGAGAGATGCCAGGGTTGGGGTGCCCCGAATTCATCCCTCTTACATAAAGTAACCTCACGCAGGAGTCCTCTTTCCATATATTGTAACGGTCTTCGCCCCTGGCTCAAACCTTTACATAGAGAGCACGACTATCTTAAACTGTCACTAAATGCTTATGACAAGCCCCCAGGAAAGTAGGAAAGTACATGTTATTTCCAAACCAAGTACCTAATGACTGATTAGATCTAAGTAACTAAAAAAGAAGAACTAGAAAGCGTAAGATAAGTTTACGCACACCTTTACGGTTACCGTTTATTAAGGAACACAATATCAAATTACACACAGATAGATACAACAATTCGACACACTCTCTCCAAATTCTCTCATAAATATGATTTACAATAAAGGTAGAACTATGTCTGAACCCTGGATACCAGAACTATCTGATATATGTAGGGGACAAAACAAGTCTATTTATCCCTACTGTAGTTTAGATAATAACAGACATGGACCAAGTGCCAATGAATATCGATATAAATTGCAATGTGCAATGAATACTTTAAGAAACCAACTATATGAAATATAATAGGATTAGCAAATGGATAAAATAGAGATCTGAACACTACAGTAGGCTCTATGAATGATTAAAATCAAACTCAACTGTCTGAAACACCAAACGTACCACCAAAAGTACGCTAAAATAGACAAAGTTAAATTATCTTCAATAAATGTAAATATTACTAAAATCCCCCGTCCATCCCCTTATCCTAATCTACAAGTTGCTTCCCTTATCCTATAAACTAAACATACTGACAACTACACGGTTTTGGAACGATCCAAAGATGTAGTAGCTGCCAGCAGCTCATAAACCAACCTTACCCTAAGAATGTCCGATCGCAACTGATTTCCCAACGCCCCAAGGAATCCCTACGCTTCTGGTAAGAACGCTAACATCAACGGGGCAACGCACAAGCTCAACGGGGCAACACCCGTTCCCCAGCGGACCCCGAAGAGGTAACGGCGCCACACCCGTTGCTCGCAACGTAGTACCCGTTGAGCCCAAATAAATACGACGATCTTCATTGGCACTTGTATGAAAAATACTTCACAAATCAACATTAATAAAAAAGTATTTCATATTATTAACATCTACAACTGTTTCGCACCGCTATTCACTCTCTGACTCGCAATCCAATACTTCCAACGCATCCAATATTTCCAACGAATCCCATATATTCAATACTTCCAATACACAACGGAATAAAAACTCAAGTGACCCCGACTGACACAGTTCGGAAGATCACGAGAGTTCACAAAATGGCGACATTCACACACACTCGCAGAGGTCACGCTCTCTGCAAAACCTTACATTTCTCGCTCTCTCCAGAAGGTTCTTACACTGGACTAACGATTAACCAAGATAATAAAGGTATTTACATCTGAATAATAACCATATTGAACATTGGAAAACACTTCAATAAGAGAAAATACCATTTGAATGGACATTGTGTTTAAAAACATGTGTTTGACAACTCCAAGATATTTACAACATTTAAACTACTGTCACACTGGTGGCATTACAGTCAGTGACTATAATTGAACAATTCAGGGAAATATCATACTTCATGACAAACAATCCAGTAAAATACCACATTTTTAAAATATTCTCTCTTTCTTTTTCATTTCCTCTCTCAAACTCCAAATCATTCATTATTTCATTATCTCTCATTACAATAATAATAATATTTAATTTGATCAAAATGACATATCAAGTTATCCAAACCATTCCTTCCTTTCATATTGAAATAAACATTTATTTGCCAAAAGCCTGCTTTATTGATATTGGATTGCTATATTTTCCTCAAATTTAGTCTAGATAAAACGAATTAATATTGCTGAACAAGATGTTTTTTTATGTGTAATTTTGAACACCTCAAAAAGAATGTCTGGGGAAATGAAAAATTTACAAAAACGAATGCGCCTACCAATTTAAACCTATATACATGAACACAAAAAACATAATCTGTGCACAATTATGTGAAATTCAACTACATAATATGTATTCATAAATGAACACACACTCAGGATGACAAAAATATTACAGGAGTCATACATACCACACATAATTGTACACACATACACTCACATACAGGTACAAACTACTACATATTACATAAGTACATCCCACACACATACACACATATACCCTTGTATGTCTGACAGCATATATATACATTGCAAACATTCTTTATATTAAGACATAAATGTGTGCAAACATCAATCCATTATATTACAATACATACCATGTCATTTCAGTCTACACATACACATAAAAAAATAAACATAATTATCAACATAACACCTACACAAGACCAACATATTACAGTTTTTAGTTATCATTTATGGGTTGCTGTATGTTTACCCGGGTATGCAATTGTAATACAATTTTGTCTTAAAACGTAAGTGCAGACCACTTGAGGTTAAATTTGTACATTGTTTTATTCAATGGTAACATCTTTTTTATTTTAATCTGTTGTTGAATATTTCGACTTTTTTCCACCATTGAAAGACGGTGGAATATATTTGAACCGACATGCATAGATATTATATTTAATAATCAGTATGAGGTAGTTTACAAAGGATAAAAGCTTCACCCTATTTCTTTCATGTTTAACAACTTGATTGAAAGTAGGAACTGGTATGTAACCCAAAAGATCATCACCAAGAAAAGTGGATACTTCATTATTATCATCTTAATATTTTTCCATGCTAACAGAACATGCGAAAGCAAGGTTTTCAGGTTGGGCAAAGTTGATGAGGATCATGAGAAGGATTCTACCAAACAAGGTACTCAATTACTAATGTCATGTCAATCCTTTGAAGCGAAGAAGACTTTATTTAAGAACATTAAACGAAGCAGGAACGAGAAAATGAAAAGTTATTGAAAGCAGAGACAAGGTAAATTGGACAGTAAAGAACAACAGGGGATTTATCCCCTGTTGTAAAGGATGCGAGGACCACCCTGGAACCGGAAAGTAGTCAGACTTGTAGTAAAGGAAGATTAGGGAATAACATTAATTTAAATGCGTTAAAACCAAGGCCCGATAAAGTCAGTAACAATAGAATGATGTCCGATTGAATAACATGTGTTTACACAAACGCTGATGGCCTGTTAAACAAGTAAGACCATCTGAAATACAGAATTCAAATGTCAAATTGACAAATTTACGCAGTTGGTAAAACAGGGGTATGTATATCTTGAAAATTCGAGGTACATCCCGAACAAAAGTGAACTGATGATACCGGGAAATGACTCAATTATCAACGAAAACACGGCTAAATGTCACAGGGGCGTAGGTTTATATATCAAAACTGATTTCTTTGACGATTGAAACAAAGACTGTCCGTTAATTGGATGTATCTATAAAAGTCCAAACTCAAACAATGAAAATTGTGAAGAACTGTATAAACTGATCAATGCTGCATCAAACGATAAAATATTTCCACACATGCTATAAATGGTTGATTTAAATCTTCCAAAAGGTAATTGGAAGTTGTTATCGGCAAACCATGACCACGACAGTGAAATGTTTATCGAATGTTTAAGGAACAACTACCTATCTCAACATACAAATGTACAATCAATACTACGAGACATCGAATACAAGACATCGAATACAAGACATCGAATACTAAGTAAGCCAAGTACTCTGGACTTCATCATAACAAACGAGGAATAGTATCAAAGTTCTCTTGGACACGGCGACCATTTGATTTTTATGTTCGATTTTTTGTGTTACAGCGAGCTGTCTGTAAATGGGATTATATAAGGCCATCAGGGGTGCTACCGGCATTAGAAAGAAAATTGATAATACATCCATTTGAGTAAAGTATGTGTACCGAGGAAACCGTTAAAAAGTTGTTGGTAAACCTTAAATCTGATAAATCACCTGGACCAGACCATGAGCACCCTAAAGCGATGACAGAACGGTATAACTCCATCTCTAAACCGTTGAGCATGATTTACAACAAAAGTTTAAGTGATGATTAAATATTACCGCAACTTGTTTAAAAAGGGTTCCAAACTAGATCCGGGAAATTAAAGACCGGACAGTCTTACGAGCGTAGTTGGTAAAACAAACAAAAACTGGTTAGAGATGCAATCGTTGCTCATACGAATAAAAACGATCCACTTAGTGAAAAACATAACGGTTTTATAAGTGGAAGGTAAACGATATTACAACTACTAAACATTTCGACGATTGGTTGGAGATCGTGGATAAAGCTAAGGGAAAACTCAACAAAGAACAACATTAATAGAACATTTTTAATTGAAAGAACACAAAAAGTCATATGAACGGTACATCATCAAAGGCGTTTCCAGATTTGAGCGGAATACCACAATACAGTGTCATTGGACCGGCACTGTTTGTCATATATATCAATGAGTTACCAGAAACCACTTTATTTTATCAGTAGTGTTCGCTGATGATTCTAAAGTGTATAGAGTAATTAAGACCGAGGAGGAACAAGCTTTTCTAAAAAATGATTTAGTTGCTCTTCAGAAATGGTCCAGTATATGGCTACTTCAGTTCCACCCACACAAGTGCAAACTTCTCTCCATAAAAGAAAAAGAACAAAGAAGCTATTTGATGACAGAACCTGAGTAACTGTGGACCGAAATCTGACTTTTGCATGTCATATACAACAACAGGTACACACGGCTAATGGCATCGTCTAAGAAGGTCTTTTATGCATTGCAATAAAACTATGTTCTACCAACTAGTTAAAGCCCTAGTTAGACCAAAGTTTTAAAGACGAGGCGTGTGTTTGAAATCAACACAAAGTAAAGGAAAATGAGCTTTTAGAATCGTTACAAAGAAGAGCAACAGGATTACTACCAGGATTAAAGGGTTTACCTTAAAGTAAACTCAGAATACTAAAACGACTAGCTATAAAATACCGAAGGATGCGAGGAGACATTATTCATGTATCTAAGATTATGAGCAATATATTTGAAGAGAGAGTCAACAATGGGCTCTTTGTACACGATAATGTATCTAGAAATCGTGGTCATTCACAAAAAGTAAAGATAAACCATTGACATTTTAGATCTCAGAAAATTCAGTTTCAACTTCAAGACAATAACAAACTGGAACAGTTTCCCACAGAAAGTTATAGACTCAACAACAATTAAGAAATTCGAGGTCAATTTAGATGAACACTGGAAAAATATAGATATGAAATATGATCACTTGGTAAATTTAGAAGTTTTTGCATATATGTTAAAATTGAATGTTAATGAATTAATGTATGTAACGTATAATTAATATGGATATAAATGCAGATATTTGCCTGCGTCCATCTTTTGACCTATCAAAATTTCCATTAACATTACAAACAAGAAAATGAAACATTTTCCCTAATAAGGTCAATATTATGCCCATCAAGCTTGCACGCCACCTTCAGAAACAAGCATCACTTAAAACTTTGTGTTTTAGTCTGTCCGTCAGCATTCCACATCTTTCATAGAAGTTGTGACAATCGGAACAAGTCAGTTGGAATCGCATCACCTGCAGCATGTAAATACCATACCTGAAGGAAGAGAGATGATAAAAAAAGGCAATGTTCACATAGGAAATGTCACCTACTGTGAGGGTCGCTTTCTAAATTAATTTTCAGTCAAGCTCTCGAACCTTAAGGACATTCCTCCACTGGGCAGTATTCCCATCGAAAATGGGGATTAGTAGTATAACACCAAGGTTTCTCCTCACCGAAGATTTGACACCAGTTCTCAAGGTCACTGCGCCCACTGAGGTCCTGGTGCGAATGCGGTTCATCGGTGTCCCATCGCTGGCACGTAATACCATTCTCTGTACAGGATACACGACCGCTGTATGTAAGGTTGGTGGCGTCATAACAGTCTTTCACTGAAGACAAAAATACAACAATAGCCGGTGAACGTTTAAATAATAAATAGAGGAAATTCTTAAAACTGCCATCACTTATGCAAATAACTATTGAATTGTACAATGTTCTGTATAACAGCTCTGTGTCTTATGTACAATGTTCTGTATTACATCCATGTGTGATGTACAATGTTCTGTATTACAGCCCACTGTGTGATGTACAATGCTCTGTAATACAGCCCTGTATGTTATGTACAATGTTCTATATTACAGCCCGTTGTGATGTGCAAACGTTCTATATTACAGCCCTTTGTGATGTACAATGTCCTATGTTACAGCCCTTTGTGATGTACAATGTTCTATATTTCAGCACTGTGTGATGTACGATGTTCTGTAGTTCAGCTCTGTGTGATGTACAGTGTTCTATATTACAGCCCTTTGTGATGTACAATGTTCTATATTACAGCCCTTTGTGATGTATAATGTTCTATATTACAGGTCTTTGTGATGTACGATGCTCTTTGCTTCAACTCTGTGTTTTGTACACTAGTCTGTGTGTGACCTAAAATGCACTGTATTACATCCCTATCTGATGTACAATGTTCTATTTTACAGCCCTGTGTGTGACTTAAAATCCCTATCTGATGTACAATGTTAATATAGCCTGTTAGATGTTCAATGTTCGATGTAACAGTCCTGTGTGATGTATAGTGATTTGTATGTGATATATGCAATATTCTCTATTAAACCCTTAGTGTGGTGTGAAATATGCCGTATTACACCACAGTAAGATATATACAATGGTATGTATTACAGCCCTGTGTGATGTACGATGTTCTGTATTACAGCCCTATGTGATGTACAATGTTCCGTATTACAGCCTTTTGTGTGATGTACAATGTTCTATATTACAGCCTTTTGTGTGATATACGATTTTCTGTATAGCACCCCGGTATGAGATATGCAATATTCTGTATTACACCCCTATTGTATTATTCCCTCGTCACGTCATGTTTTACTGGATCTACGAATATGTTACTAACGCTTTCCTCGGATCGTATTTCTCGTGTTTGATTAAATGGTTATCGACGGTATCAATGGCCAGAAACTAATGTAATATTTCTTTAGCATGGAATTATACCACTTTTCTACAATGACTTAGAGTCATATACAATGTACCATTATATAAAATACGCTTGATTTGATGAAGAAGATAAACAATTATATGTATAGCAAAGCCGATGTCAGACTTACAATTGACAGGCCATGTTAGGTCGTTTAAGACCATAAACACTTTAACGACGGTTATAGACAAACTGTTTCCATTTGGTTAGATCATGATTTTTTATTATAAAAACGTAAGAGTTTTAAAGCTTTGTAACCGATAAAAGATGATGACTCGGTTTTATTAGACTTAGAAGAAATCATCTGGCTATCAATGTATATTTTAGGTTATCATTATCTTACCCAGTATCATATATATCTTTTGCTAGTAAAATACTTTTCCTTAATTAGTATGTTGATAGATATAATGAAGATATTTACCTGAGCAAGAAACGTTAACGTTAGACCACGTGAGGTCTCCGTCACAGTGTGTCAAGGGACAGCTGGGCACAGGGTCGGTTGTTACAAAAGACGCACACCGATACCAAGCCAACTCCTCATAGTACTGTTTATATGGCCACTCGACTTCAATTCTGGCTCCTATCATGGTAGGTGGAAGCGGTACAGTCAGAGGGTGTCCACAGTTCAAGTTCGCAAATGGACAGAAGTCAAACCTGATGTCTGGATCAATTGTGTGACACCAGGGGCGGTCCTCGCTGTCTAGTTGGCACCTGTTTCCCAGATCACTCCGACCTTCGTAGTAGCTGATCGAATGAGGGTCGTCAGTATCCCACCTCTGACAAGTCACACCCCCAATGGTACAGGTAACTCCGCCCTCGTATTGTTCCGAAGTGATGTTGAACCAGTCTTTCACTGCAATCACAATACTATAAGCATACATTTAACATTTTATACAATCGTACACCTCAATTGCTTCACACTAAGGGCCCAAAGGGAGATGATAATTTGTAACAGCTATATTTTGACCAAAATGAAGGGGTTCAGAGTAATTTTGCACCATTAGGGGTTAAGATCGACTTTTGGTAAAAATGTCACCCAATGATGATATTACATGAGAAGGGAATAAACCTATAGATGTCGAAAAATCTACCACACCTTTTTTTGCATCCAAAACCACATTTCTAGTTGATGAACAAAAAAATCTTAGCACCGTTGGAAAGATGGATAATTTTTCTTTTAAAACCTTCTATATGCACGTAAAATGTATCCTCCTTCCGCAGACATGATCTCCGCTTCCTCCAAAAACACACGCAATTTCCGAGTTTCAATGGTATTACAGTCATAGTGCCACTTTTTGTATATTCATGAGGCGCGAAATATAGTGTTGATTGGCTGTTTTTTTAGGGAAAAAATAGCTGCGCTTTCAGCCAATCACATCACGGGTTTCTTAGGTGAATTGGCCCTGGTGAACGCCGCACTACATCCCTAGTCAAAAGTACCATGAAAAGTGGTGTCCAATGAGCAGGTGGCTTGTTATTTACAGAACTAATACAACTAAGCATTCTAAACATCTGGACAAAAATCCAGCAAATTCTGTTTGACTAGAGTTAACTTACCATTTACCTCACCGTTGATAGAAGTGAGTTCTAACATTATCTCCAATCAAAACGTTCATTCCACGTGTGACCCCCACCAATGCTGACCTATGGTCGCACCATCTGAGACGACGATTTCCGATATTCAAAATCAGTCACTTCAAGATCAGAAAGTGGGAGGGAGGAGGGGTATATATAAATACTAATCACAAATGTGTTTTTTTTCTCTTCCAAACCTTCCTTTCTTATCAATAAACGTTCGTCTTACTACAAACATTTATGCGACTTCCTGAAAATGACTGCAATCAGGCACAGAAATACAACACTTTAGTTATTACTGAACATGAAAACGGGTTTCTCGCACCTTGTAGCCAATATAGCCAACGCAACCAAATCAAAACGTATAATAGATATATGGGATGCACTGCTATATGGTTCCTTTTTCAGCGACAGGTGTTAAGACAAGCTTTACGACCCATTCATAGAGTTGTATACCCTCCATGATAAATGTGGAATACTTTAGAAACTCAGAAAAGGCAATCCGAAAAGATAAGGAAAATAGTTTTCTCATATCAGCGTGGGGTTGTCTAGTCTGCACAACCCTCCAGCCTCCTCTGTCAGGTGACGCCTTGACACAAGTCCTGCAAACACTACGCTCGACTACCTCTCCTCAACATGTAGTATGACATTATTTCTTGTCAGAATATAGATGTCTAATCACGTAAACAAGAGGCCAATAACTTATACCACTGCACAACCCATTTACTGCTAATTACTGGATAAAACTACGAGTATATTTCTTATAAGGAAAATGGTGATGACCAGCTAAGGCACAAAATGTCATTGAAACACAACTTTCAACTGGTCTTATGTTCAATTCCAGGATTCTGTGTTTTTGTATAACTTGTTGGAAAGAAAACATCGAGTAAACACTAGCCAAAGCATGTTGACGAAAGGAACAATTCAACAAGACCACGCTAGCCAACATTTTCCATCGCGGTAAGTTAAAATAACAAATTCATTTCAAAAACAAATAATTAAAAAAAGGACTGATTTAACTTTTTTTTTTTTTCTCTATTAGGGATAATCTAACTCCTTTTCAGGATTTAAACAAAAACGAGTTAAAAATTCAAGCAGATCGTACTACCTGATGTAGTCCTGAAAAGAAACCAAAATACTGATTTCGCCAATTACAAAGATTTCGTCTAACGCAAATGGCAGTACAGGAAGTCGGTCTAAGGATATATTATTACCCATAATCAAATCATGCTACCTGAACAAGAAGCAGGTTGTGTTGTCGTGTCGGGTGTACTTCCACACTTGACTAGTGGACAGTGGTCGACCGGTGGTTGATCAGTAAGAGCCTGGCACCTGTACCTAGCTAGATCTGTGTTACCGTTGTACGGGTGTTCTATACTGTAGCCTGGTGGGACAGGAGGCAATGGACAATCTGTAAAATAGAGACTTCGGAATCATGGCTCTTATACATTATATTAATCCATATTTTCATTCAAACAAAAACATATAGAAACGAGTTACAAACTTGTATGAATCGGTTTCCTTAATATCAACTCAGTAGGGGATTGAACAAAAAACAAGGAATAGAAGAAAATCAAAGAGATAAATGTAGAATAGGGAAACTAATCAATGGAATTTAAATACTTCATAAAGACCAGGAGTCCGATGCATGTTTTCTTAATATCATATCGATCAGTTTGGTGACATAAAGGTATGAATTATCCGATTAGCGGATTATTGTTTCATTTAGATATCAGATTGTTAACAGTTTACTGTTTATATTTCCTGGTTTACTGGTAATATTTTCGAGGTGTATAAGTTCGCTATATTTGCAGTCTCCAAATGTAGCGCAAAATTAAATACAAAGCTTTCAGATAACATCCCTTTGTGGGTAGTTTGAGAGCAGAATTGGTAAAATATCACCTGTCGGGAGAATTCATATTACTCGGTCAGTATCAAAGTGAGAAAGGAAACGGATACATCGTTTTGATCATTGTGTCATTTTCCAGACATTTAAAAATCAATCGGCACTGAAATCAGCATTTTAATTAAATCAGCACTAAAATTGGCATATACATGATGAAGTGGACCATGTGGGCTTCATACTTTAAAAAAAATCGAATTTGGTTTAAGACTACAATTTTGGGCATTTACAAATCAGTGTCTACACAACAAAAGCTAGCTTTTCATGTAGTCTATTTTTGTATTCAGCACATGTGTAAATATTGTGAAAAATCAACCGGAATGACCTATGCTAAAACGTGAGTATTTCTGTTACTGAGTAGACGATATCTAATTTCAGACAGGTTTTAAGAACAAAAATACTACTTGTGGGGGTCAAATTTTGGGTTAAAAATCATGTTTTTTTTGCATATTTTTGTTTTGTTTTATTTGGTACAGAGGTGTCAGCGTTTCAGTTGACAGAATTTGCGTTTTCATTCCGTTTGAATTAGTAATTAGCATCCTTCTTTTATCTTTATTTTGCAGACCCACTAGAAAGAGTGTGATACCATAATCATATAGGCCTATAATGTTTTATGTCAATTCCACTTTACCTAAATTCCCATTCCACACCACACCACACCACAGGAGCACATGGACCTGAGCATTTCTTACAACTAGGTTTTTGTTATATTTGATCCTAAACAAAGGTGTTAAACATGTTAAAGGGGTTTAGATTGACTTTTTATAAAAATGTCGCCCCAATGATTATATATAGGCATTGGGGGTGGCATTTTTACTGAAAGTAGATCAGCAGTTGTCAGTCAGAAGTTCTGTTAATAATTAATGTTAAAAATAAAAAGATACCTTCAATATTTTGCTCTCAAATAGCAAGCATATAATTATTATAGAGCCGTTGGAGGTTTATTTTTAAATCACTATAATTATTGATTATTAACAGAAATTCAGACTCATTTGACCACATCATGATTATAAAAACCATCATAGTAGTACATTAAACCTATTTCAGTAGATTCGATAAGGTCGGTCTGGAATTTCAACCTGGACTTCTGAACTCTAGATGGGCACTCGGATTAATTGAGCTAACTGGTTGCCAGCGATCCACATAATCCAGTTCCGCTTACATACATTTCTCCCATAGTCTTTGACTCCGAGGACATGTTTACAAGATCCTTATATGGGTATTGCTACCAGACCAAGATTCGAACCTATGACCTTCAAACGCTTAGACATGACAATCTTCACCAAATGAGCTTCCTGGTCCCTGGTGATTGATCCAGTCCAATGCCGCAACATTTTAAAGCATCAATTTTATAGTGATTTGGTCAGTGTTTAAGAAAGCTATCAACATTATCATCATGTAACACGCATGTAATGAATGTACATGTTTTTCAAGAAAAAAATAGTGTACAGAATTTTGAAAACCGAGAACATTCTTCTGCACTGAAAATGTGCAGCATTACAAATACAAGATAACATCATTAAAAATAATGTCCGAGAGGAAACAATTCAGCTCAACATACAGTTATATACGCAAAAAAAGCTTCAGACGATAAATGCCATTTTAAGAAGCACCCTAGTTTCATTTCATTTACAAGTTAGGTAGTAAACAAAAAAACTAAATGTTCTGAAATTGCATTTCTAATTTCATTCCTATGCCTGTTATTTCGAGAGAAAAAACAATCAAATATTGAAAACTATGTCCAGGACATATCTTCTATACGTTTTCACCTGGAGTAACCAGTTTTGTTGTACAAGGACATCTTGGGATGGCGGAGTGCACAGTGCAAGATAAAAGGTCACTGTGACTTGACCTTTGACTTTCACTTTTGAAAATGTTTGTCCGGGGCACATCTGTACTATTTCACTTGGAGTAACCAGATGTAGTGTACAATGACATATTGGGATGGCGGAGTGCACAGTGCTAGAATTAGGTTACTGTGACCTATGACTTGACCTTTGACCTTTACTTTTGCAAATGTTTGTCTGGGGCGTTTCTTCTGTACTATTTCACTTGGAGTAACCAGATTTGGTGTACAAGGACATCTGGAGATGGCCGAGTTTAGGGTGTCTTCGGCAGTATGTTTCAGGTAGCACTATAAAGTCGGAATCAGTTCCGCGCTATCACAAGGAGACAAACACGAACATATCTCAGCCTCCCAAAATACACACACATACACTACACGCAGGCATCTTGCGCACAGGGGAGGCCGTCATTAAATGACCTTAGCTTTTAATAGGACGTTAATCAAAATAAAACCAAACCAAACCAAGTATTCAGATTTGGTGTACAAGGACATCTTGGGATGGCAGTGTGCGAGAATTAGGTCACTATGAAGTATGACTTTACCTTTGACCTTTAATTTTCAAAAGGTTTGTCTGGGGCATATCTTCTATACAGTAACCAGATTTGGTGTACAAGGACATCTTGGGATGGTGGAGTGCAAGAAGTTGGTCATTATGACCTCAATGTGACCTATGCTTCCTGACATAAATAATCTCCGATGGGGGACTATGAATTGCCTTGTAATAGTTTGCCTTGTTGTTGGGAAAATGCAACACATTTCTATTTCAGCTAATATTTATAGGTTTCAGTGAGACTTACCTTATTAATTACAATTATCTAGGGTGTTTGAAATCAGTTTTATTCATCAAATCAGTCTCAATATGTCGCACAGTATGACATTAAAAAAAATATATATATATATTGGAGAGCCTGGTGAAAATGACACCTAAATTAAAGGCTACAGACAGCTAAATTATATGATTTAATGCTTATTAAAACTTTGATGGGACGTTTTGTGGTTAAATATTGATTGATTTTAATGAAACTTGGTAAGCATGTACAATTTACAAAGACTGAGCAAGTTTAAAGATGAGCAAAATCTGTGAATTATTAATTAACATAATGTCCTCTAATTGGTTGGTTTAAGTTTTCTTTATTACAACCATGACAGGATTTTGATGAAACTTGTCAATATGTTGTACAAAAACAAAGACTAAATTTGAATTTTAGCAAAATCTGTACATAATTAATTACTCACAATTAACACCCCTAGTTTTCGCCGGCACGTCTAAATACCCAAAACTACCCCATGCGAACTATCTGTATACGTACCCAATACTACTTTAATACTGTGAAATATTACCTTTCAGTTTTCTAGAAGGTTTTTTTTACTTTTATCTGACATATTTTGTCGGAAAATATGCGATTGGGTGCAGAAAACATCACCTATAAATGCCGTGACTATGACCCAATACTACTCCATACTACCCAATACCACCCAATACTACCCCATACGACCCAGTTATGTACCCAATACTACTTTAATACTGTGTAATATCACCTTTGTATAAGTTATTTACTTCTATCTGCCATATTTTATTGGAAAATGTGCGATTTGGTTCAGAAAACAGTCATTCTCTCGAGTTATTTCCCTTTATACAGAAAGAGGTATGGCGGAAAACTGCCCGTATTTCCCTGAGTCGGCATTTATGAAAACGGAGAAAAAAATTAAGGAGTAAAACATTTCGTGTAGCCTAAATGCATACAAAAGATACAAAACCAATTGAATTTGAATTTTTAAACTGCTGAGAAATTAGGTATTGCTAATATGATACTGCAAATATAGCCATATACACTATATCTATGAAAGTGATGGGGTATCCCGGACTTAAAAAAATACTTTCAACACTTTCCCATCCGAGGACCAACTTTTGAATAAACTTTTTGTGACAGTGATGTAATATGCAAAAACAAATCGTATTACGGAAAAGTGGTCCTCTTTTGGGAAAGTGCTCAATTAATGAAAAACAGGGGTGATCAAGTTTCTCTAAACTGCGACCGGTGTTTCTCGGGTTAAATTAGTTTGTAATTGCTAATATCTATATGTTCTATGTAGCCGAATGTGTAACGCAGTTTACTTGTGACTAGAAAATAAACGGTGCAGGTTCGAATCCTCCTTCAGTTATTTTTTGTTTTAAATATTTAGGCATGTTATCATTTTCCTTAATAAGGTAATGGTCTATCGAAGCATGTCAACAAATCCCTGTACCCGTGTACAGTACAGCTACGCTTTGTAGGTAAAAACAACAATTAAATACAGAATGTATTTTATTGCATTTATGTTGGTGGTAACGGTTTATTTTGGGATTCTTTCTTTTGACCCTAGAATATATTTTCCCAGTGAGCAAGGCGAACAGGACGCACATGCGTATGAATATATGATCACGTGGTCCAGCTAAGCGTCACTTGGAAAATTTCTTCACGGGCAGAAAGGTAGGGCGCTATTTTAAACATTGATTTCTTCCCGCCACCGTCCCCTTACACCTCTAATTTTATATGATGTCATAATACTCATGGTATGTTTAACAGTTATTCAAGGTTTGGGCGTTTTCTTGTCCCCTCACCTACTATAGTCATTAGCAGAATGGCATTGCATTTGATTATGAAATGCAGTCTATGGAACACCTTCTCAGGAGGGTGTTCAATACATGTATTGTAACATGTATTTTATGTTATGTCATACATGTATTTTTATATTATGTCGTTTTAATAAAAACGGCCATTTTCAATCATTATGTCTTTCTGGTTTTTATTGACTATCGTACTATTACATAGCTTGCTGCTTGACTGATAGGTGCGAACCATTCAACATAAACACTATTTTTGATGAAATTTGTGAATTGTTTTACCTCTAGCCTAAGATGTTCTATATCTTATCTTGCTTACTCTTCCTGAACTTCACTATGTATAGTTACATGTATGTGGTGTAATGTTGATAAAAGAAAAAAAACTCATTCATCCAGTAGCTATTTTTTTTTTTTTTCATTTTTTCATTTTTAGTTTCTATAGGTGCATGCAATCTCAACTTTACTGCCACTGTAAGTTAACATGCATGAGCAACTATGTGCTCACCAATAATTCGCATGGCATTGAACTATAGTATTTCGTACGCGTACTTTTCATGTACACGTACGTATTTTATTGGAACTTACCGTTCAAGTGAATATTAAAATCCTATCACTTCAATAAATTATCCATAGCAACTACACATCCTCTTTCTCTTATACTCATTTTTTATTTAGCTACACGTATGAAATACACGTGAAATCAACACGATCGCTTTTCGCGTGCGCTTGTACAAACACCATGATATTGCTTACGTGTCTCTACCTATTGTTGATCGGCTGGATTTAATTTATAAAAACAGCCCGTTATCTCTATACACTCGCAATAGAAAGACGACTACGCGTTTGTGAATTGTTGCAAATGATAATCTAGTGGTGTTTTTCGTTAGTATAGTTATTGTGTTGATCACAGGGGCTTGTGGAGTTCAACATAGATATTTCACATACATGTTTTCTCTTATACTTCTACTACTGGAATGTCTATTTAATCGATCAAAATATTCTTATTTTTAATGTTTTACCTTTTCTGCATATGTATGCTCTATATTG